GCCTTAGCCGGTTGAGCCACAGGAGCCGAGCCAGATTAAACTCTTATTAGAGCCCCAGGGACATGGGATTAAAAACCAGGTGCAGAGCTCTTTAAAATAAAACCACGGACGGATAGGAATAGCAAGTTCCCAGGACAAGAAAGTACACAAATTGAATAGTGGAGGCTTGGCACCCGTAGCACAGTGGTTACTGCGCCAGCCACGTAACACTGAGGGTGGTGGGTTTGAACCAGCTCGGCCCAGCTAAACAACTGCAACAACAACAATAAAAAAATAGCCAGGCATTATGGCAGGCACCTGTAGTCCCTGCTACTTGGGAGGCTGAGGCAAGAAAATCACTTAAGCCCAAGAGTTTGAGGTTGCTGTGAGCTGTGACGCCATAGCACTCTACCAGGGGCTACATAGTAAGACTCTGTCTCAAAAAAAAAAAAAGAAAGAAAGAAAGAAAAAGAAAAGAAATTGAATAGTACTGTCTCCTTTGTCACCCTGGGTAGAGTGCCATGGCATCATAGTTCACAGCAAGCTTCAACTCGGGCTTAAGCGCTCCTCTTGCTTCAGTTTTTCTATTTTTAGTAGAGATGGTGGTCTCATTTTTGCTCAGGCTGGTCTTGAACTCATGAGCTCAAGCAATCTACCCACCTCAGCATCCCAGAGTGCCAAGGATTACAGGCGTGAACCATTGTGCCCAGCCACATCTGGCTATTTTTAGAGACGGGGTCTGACTCTTGGCTCAGAGCTGGTCTTGAACCTGTGAGCTCAGGCAATCCACCCGCCTCAGCCTCCTAGAGTGCTGTGATTATAGGCATGAGCCATAGTGTGGAGCTTTTAAAAATTTTTTTAGAAACAGGGTCTTTCTCTGTCACCTAGGCTGGGGGGTAACTATTTTGGGTTTTGTGAGCCAGATGGTCTCTGTTGAAAAACCACTCAGCTTTACCTGCAATTATATAGACCACAGGAAGTAATAAAAAAAAAAAAAGCTCAGCTCTGTTCAAAGGGTAGTCATAAACAGGACACAAACAAATGGCCATCACTGTGTTCACATAAAATTTTATTTTCAAAAACAGGCAAGCTTGGCACCCATAGCACAGTGGTTACAGTGTCAGCCACATACACTGAGGGTGGCAGGTTTGAACCCAACCTGGGCCAGCTAAACAAGGACAATTGCAACAAACATAGCCAGATGTTGTGGTCCCAGCTACTTGGGAGGCTGAGGCAAGAGAATCGCTTGAGCCCAAGAGTTTAAGTTCACTGTGAGCTGTGACACCACAGGGGTCTACCAAGGGCGACATAGTGAGACTCTGTTTCAAAAAAGAAAAATAAATAAATACATACATAAAAACAGGCAGCAGGCTGGATGTGGCCCCTGGGTTGTAGTTTGCTGACCACTGAGGTAGCAAGGTTCAACTGTTATAACAGACCTCCAAGAACAACAGCAGTAATAAGAGAAGTTTCTTTTTTTTTTTTTTTTTTGAGACAGAGCCTCAAGCTGTCCCCCTGGGTAGAGTGCCGTGGCATTACAGCTCACAGCAACCTCCAACTCCTGGGCTCAAGCGAGTCTCCTGCCTCCGCCTCCCAAGTAGCTGGGACCACAGGCGCCTGCCACAACGCCCGGCTATTTTTTGGTTGCAGCCGTCATTGTTGTTTGGCGGGTCCGGGCTGGGGATTCGAACCCGCCACCTTAGGTGTACGTGGCTGGCGCCTTAGCCGGTTGAGCTATAGGCGCCGAGCCAGAAGTTTCTTTTTTAAGGAACAGTTCCAGTGTAACCAGCTGAGGGATGTTCGGGGGGCTTTATGGTCTCAAGGACCTTTGCTCCTTCCATCTTGCTTCCCTACCTTCCTGTGTGGTCCAAGATGGTGCCTCTTTGGCCACACATCATGTCTTCTTGCATCTCATTGGCTAGAACTTAGTCATATGGCCACTGGTAGCTGCAAGGGAGGCTGGGAGATGTAGTCTTTGGCTAGGCAGCCATGCACCTGGCTACATAGGCTATTACTATAAAGGAAATGAAGAAGTAGTCATACAAGATACCAGCAGTGTGCCACACATGGGATTCTGATTCTTGTCATTATTTCTCTGCCCCTCAGCCAGCTTCAAGCGCCCTGTGGTTCTCCTGGGACCTGTGGCAGACATTGCTATGCAGAAGTTGACTGCTGAGATGCCCGACCAGTTTGAAATTGCAGGTGAGAAAATAGGTCCCCTGGTAACCTTGTTAGTGAATCATTTCACCAATGCTTTTTTAGGGGCAAGGAGTTAGAACAATGATGGCAAATATGAGGCAGATGGGCGACAAATACCCTCTTCATTGCCCAGGACAGACATCCTCAATCAATCTTCACACTGTTTGGATAGAATGCCAGAATCCTTAACACAATTCACCAGATAGCCATTGCCAATTGAGACAAAATTCATTTGTTAGACTCAGTGCCCATAGCACAGTGGTTACAGAGCCAGCCACATACACCCAGAGTCTCACTCATGGTAAAGTACCATGGCATCATAGCTCACAGCAAGCAACTTTAAACTCTTGGGCTCAAAGCGATCCTCTTGCCTCAACCTCATGAGTAGCTGGGACTACAGGTGCCCAGCACAACTCCTGGCTATTTTTTCTATTTTTAGTAAAGGCAGGGTTTCACTCTTGCTCAGGCTGGTCTTGGACTCCTGAGCTCAAGGGATCCACCCACTTTTGCCTCCTGAAGTGTTAGGGTTACAGGCATGATCCACTGAATCTGGCCAGTACTGAAAAGAAATAAAAAAGAAAAAAATTATGACACATGAACAAGTTGTGAAATTCCAATTATGACATCCAATAAACAAAGTTTTATTGACACACTTCCACACCCATGGTTGACATATTGTTCATGCCTGCTTTCTGGCCATAGCGGCAGTTGAGTCATCTCAGAAAAACCCACAAAGTCAAAAACATTTAATGTATGGCCTGTTATCAACAGGTGTTTAAAGCTCTGAGCTTAAGCAAAATGGGAATGCTCTGGAAAAACACTGAAAAGGAAAATAAGATGAGAGGCATTTAGCAGAGGTGGTCAGAAAAGGCCCCTCAGTGACAGCAACGTTTAATGTGAAAAAAGGACCAAGACAGGGGTTCTAGGCAGAGGGAACTGCAAATTCAAAAACTCTGAGAGTGGAATAAGCTTCTATGTCCCAGGGGCTGAAAGGTGGGAGAAAATAACAGGGGAAGGTCATGCAAGACCTTGGGAGCTCCGTGAGATGTTTGAATTTGATTCTGAGGGCAGTAGGGAGCCATAGAAGTTGTGAACCAGGGAGAGAGTTTTATTTATTTTTAAATTTTTATTTAAAACAATTATTTTAATTGCTTTTGAGGGCTCGGCGACTGTGGCTCAAGCAGCTAAGGCGCCAGCCACATACACCTGAGCTGGCGGGTTCGAATCCAGCCCAGGCCCACCAAACAACAATGATGGCTGCAACCAAAAAATAGCCAGGCGTCGTGGTGGGTTCCTGTAGTCCCAGCTACTTGGGAGGCGGAGGCAGGAGACTGGCTTGAGCCCAGGAGTTGGAGGTTGCTATGAACTGTGATGCCACAGCACTCTACCCAGGGCAACAGCTTGAGGCTCTGTCTCAAAAAAAAAAAATTGCTTTTTGAGTGAGATGGGCATTTGTCAGCTTAAGGCTGTACCAGTGAGCCAAGTGGATTAGCTGACAAATGCCCCTCACTAGCTGGGTGGCTCTGAGCTAGTACCTTGCCCTCTCCAAGTCTCATTTCCTCATCTGTCAAATAGAGTCCGTCATTCTTGGTGGGAGGGATAAGAGAGGGGACACAGGGCTATACGTGGCACAGTGCCTGGTGGCCAGGGTTCCCAGGTAGGGTCTTGACTTTTGTTTGGTGGGTGAAGGCTCAGCATTTCTGGGGGGCAGGCCCCTTTTCTGTTTTGTTTTCTTGCTGTCCCCTGTAGCTCAAGAGTGTTCAGGAAGCCAAGATGGGACAGACAGTTTTGGGGGAAGGAAACCAAGCGTGGACATCAGCCCTTGGGAGGAGGCTGGGTATGATTCAGAGGGAAAGGTCGTGTTCAACATCATTAGCTATTAGTGACACATAAATGACAGATATTACCTCACACCCACGAGACTCACTACAGCAAAAAAAACAAAACAGGCTGGGCATAGTGGCTCATGCCTGTAATCCTCAAACTCTGGGAGGCCCAGGCAGGTGGATTGCCTGAGCTCACGGGTTTGAGACCAGCCTGAGCAAGAGTGAGACCCTGTCTCTAACAATAGTTGTGCGTTGTGGCAGGTGCCTGTAGTCCCAGGTACTTGGGAGACTGAGGCAAGATAATCGCTTGATGCCATGATACTCTATTGAGGGTGACAAAGTGAGACTCTGTCTCAAAAAAAAAAAAAAAAAAAAAAAGAAAGAAACAAACCAAAAACACATACACAACCAAAAATGGAAGATAACAGAAGCTGGTGAGGATGGAGAGACATCAGAATCCTCGTGCATGACTGGTGGGAATGTAACACTGTGAATTCACTGTGGGAAACAGTCTGGTAGTGTCTTGAAAAATTAAAGATAGAATTACCACGTGATTCAGCAATGCCACTTCTGGGCATATGTGCAAAAGAATTAAAGGCAAGGACTCAAACCGATCCATATCCACATTTACATGGAGTGAGATTCACAACAGCCAAAAGGTGGAAGCAACCCAAGTGTCCATGGATAGATGGATACAATGGGTTCCATCTACACACGGATGCAGCCTGAAAAAGAAAGGGAATACTGACATAAGCTACAACATGGATGGATGAACCTTGACACGATGCTCAGTGAGAGAAGCCAGATAAAGAAGGACAAATCTTGTGTGATCCCACTCACAGGAGGCCCCTAGAGTCCATAGACTTACAGAGGCAGAAACTAGAATGGTGGCTGCCAGGTGCTGGAGAGGGAGTGAGGATTTAGCATTTCATGGGGACAGAGTTTCAGTTTGGGAAGATGAGAAAGTTCTGGAGATGGAGGAGATGGTTACACAACCACGTGTGTGTACTTAATGCTGTTGAACTCTGCACTTAAAAATGGTCAAGATGATAAATTTTATGTATTTTATCACAAAAAATCAAAAAGGGAGTAGGCAAGGTCATATCCCCCACCTTGGGGTCCCTCGAGGTAGGCTGTGTCTCTTCCTTGAAACTCCAAACTATCTGAGAGGGCTTCTTGGAGGAAGCAGTGCTCCTCTCAGATCCTAGAAGACAGATCAGGAATAGGAGAGGAGCTTCCTGTGAGGTCACATCCTGAGCTGGAATTAGGCCTGAACCTGGGAGAGCCAGTGTCTAGATCACCTTCCCTGTCGCTCTTGGCTCCGTAACTCTTGTCCCTGAAATTCAGTTTCTCCATCTCCCAGATAGGCTGGTGCCAGCTACCTGCTCCTAGGAGGAGGTAATGGGCTGAGGCCAGAGGGGATGCTGAGTCTAGTATCCACACCTGGCCAGCTGTTACGGTTTTTCTCAAGGGTTGGTAAGGGAGGGAACGTTCCCATGGTGGGTTCTCAAGCAAGGGAAGGGAAGGTTGATATGAGTTTGACGAGCTAGGGCTGCCTTCTCCCCTCCACAGAGAGCGTGTCAAGGACTGACAGCCCCTCGAAGATCATCAAACTGGACACTGTGCGTGTGATTGCAGAGAAAGTAAGTAGGCCCTGCCCTGTGATGGGTCCCATTTAATGGATGGGGAAACTGAGGCCTGGGTTTCCAACCGCGTTCTGACCTGTTCTCATTCCATGCTCCACAAGTGTGGTCTCCCATGGGGCCCTTCTTGGAGGCCCTTTGCCATGGGACACCTGAGGGTGACAAAGACTTCCTGAGTCGGCTCGGCGCCTATAGCTCAACCGGCTA